AGGCATTTTGAAATAGTTTGGCTGTTTTTGACTGAAAAAACATCAGTTTTAGCAAGGTGGACTCTGATTTTTTATTTATTGGCAAGAAGCATAGTTCTGCCTATTGAACCTGACAATTTAAAGAGTAAAGGCATCACTAAGCAATCCACTTCTATATTCAGATTATGCAAAAATCCAAGATGCATGGGGGTCAGAGTAGAAGGGAGAGTAGGCCCATACACTTTATCCTCAGGTAGCTGGAACCTCATAAACATTAACTTAAAACTACGAGTCACAATACAATCATATTTTTCACTCAAAATAAACAAGTAAAACTTGAAGAGTAATGGAACATTCTATAGTTAAAGTCAGAATATTTTTCTTTGCTGAGTATCGATATACTACTCTCATACAATTGCAGATACTTAAATTTAAGAATCCAAAGCTATCATCAATACCATAAATATTAGCTGCTTTTCACAACAATACATAAGCTTTTAAAAATCATTACTAGAATAATGTGGAAGATGTATTATAAAGTGTTAGAAAAGGTGAAATGTTAATACTATTCTAAATGTCAGATTCCATCTTCTCACAGCAGCAAACACAACCACACTTGGGATGTTCTGCATTAAAGAAACTAATCACAGTAGTAAGAGCATGTGCCTGTGATGTGGTGCTGCTTTAAGATTTTTTAAGAAATAGGTATTCATTGACTTCCTCGGAGGAAAAAAATAGGTGTGTTTTTTTTTTACATTTGGGATTGACCAGGGAACACTAGGGAACAGGCTGTCCTACTCCTATCCTCCTCGCCATGCTAAATGGAAGCCGTAACTAGTAACTAGCACCCAGTTATTTGAAATCGGGGGAAATAAGCATCAAAATAACTTTAACAGTATGATGTATTTTCAGGACAGGTAGAGGAAAAGTGAATCTACTTTGAACAGAAACACAACATTAATCCTTTCTAAACTCCCCCAATTCCTTACTCCCATATAAAAACGAAATGGAGAAAGTATTCCAGTGAAGTATTCTGTTGTGCTTGGAAAGGACTTCTACACTGATCAAACGTAAACCTAAACATTTTTCTTATCTCAATCCTAGTTGGGGCTAGGTTAAGGAATTTATTGTTCTGTCTCTCTTTCTAATAATTCTCAAAGTCTGAATTACATATTATGTCCTTAGTATTCCAGTTCTATGTGGATTCAAGGCAAACCTCTCATTTGGGATAGCCTGTGAGGTGTCTTTAGGTCTTCAAAGTCTAAAATGTTTGTTGCTCAGGTTTCAGTGAACATATCCTGATCTAGTTATTTCTATTTTAAAGCTATCATTTAGATTCTACAAATTATCCTATGCTTAATATTTTGGCACTTAATTTTTTTGTTACAAAGAATGACTTTCAGTTATCATTAACACTAGTGTACGGTTTCAGCTGTAAAGCTGTTCTGGGTAGTTTATTAGAACAAGTATCTGATGTTTTATTATTTTTTTAAATATGAAAGGTTAAAATTTAATCACATTTCTTGTCTAACTTCTGAAGTAATATTCTTCTTTCTATAGACTGGTTAGTTTGCTTTTGGGTGTTCATTCAGTTTTTTTATAAAGACCATGCAAAAGTCCATACAAAGTGGATTAAATTAAACTTCAGAAATGTTCAGTAGCTTCCTAGCTTTTTTTCCCCCAAAGAGAAATGTTAGCCACCATTATCTTTTTTGTAACTGCTCACTTTTCCACTTTTCTCCCCATGCCACTGACTTCCAGCTCTTCCTTTAGACATGGATGGCATGAGCATGCTTCTTGCATAATGGCTTATCCTTCTTGGAGTAAAATGGCTGCCCTTCCAAATTTACATGGCACACCTAAAATTAAAATAAACAGAAAACAGGAATATGATTAATTATTTTATCGCTCTTCAGCCTGCACTTTAATGACTAGATCTGGGTATTCTTAACTCTGAGTAGCACCATAACACACGAATTATAAATCAGTCAGTTTATTAAAATCTAGTCCTCAGAATGAGCTATAATTAGCTGATCTCAATGTCTCCTCAATTTTTGATCCCAGGCTGGGGGGGGGGGGGGGGGGGG